ATTATGAGTCATTAGGTTGCCATAAAATCAGAATTTACTTGGCCTCGTTTTGTGGTTATCAAAAAAAATCATTCACTTTTCTTTGGGTATAATAAATGCCCTTATTGCATCTATGGTCACGTTAATATTCAGGCAGTGTATGTCAGTATTAGAATTTTGGAAGTGTTTTTAGTTTTAAGAAACTTGTTTCATTATAATACAGTGATTTCACATGTTCTTGATCATAATTGAACATCAGAAATCATACGTCGTTGTATCCTAAAATGTTCATTCAAGTCAGCTGAACTGGTTTGAGTTCATGGAGACATTTGATCAAGATTAATTCCAAGAACTTCCTGCAGCAAAGTAGGCCAAAAGCAATGAAATGGTCAAACCTGTCAGGGATGGTCAGCAAAAAAAAAAAAAAAGAATATTCCTTTTCAGAAACATAGTCTGTGAACAAAACACTGCCAGGCTGCAGCTGCCAATGTGTGAAACACAGATATCAGACTCATCAGCCGTGTCGTGGTCCCAGATCTGCTTACATCACTGCTGCAAAGACTGTGACCGTCTCCCAAGTTGTTGTTATGATTCATGCCACATTCATTCCAGCTGAGTTTGTTTGAAATACATCAATGAACACTAAGTCTTTGTCTTTTCAATAAACAATGTGTTTGGGGGCCATGTAAACATCTTTGATGACACTTCCTCCAGAACATATTTACCCGTTAAGGCGATCAGTAAATGATCTCAAAACTGTTTCAATAAATAACACGGACTGAGCTGTTTCTGCAGCAGCTCAGATTCCAAGCCGGTCGCCTACCATCACACTGATTTTTCCACAATGTGGGAGACGGTTGGCCTTTACAGAAGCTACCGAGCCGATGACCTATGTCTGCAGTTAGTCAGCGCTTTTGTTCTCACAAATGCAGAAACTCTACAGCCTGTATTGGGAGAACGTGTGGGTGCGTAAAGTGATGTCCTGTATTTGTTTGTTTTTCAGTGCATTTAAGTTCATTAAAAACAAAAACGTTCTATATTACAGTGAAAGATGAAAGATGTGACCACTATTAAAACAAGAAAAAAACATAAATAGGAACTCTCTATGTAGATTCTGCTCAAAACCTTTTCAACAAGATGCCTTTGAAAACCATGGATGAAGGCCGGGCATTGGTAAAATGGCAGCACTGACAAAGGCCAGTGCACAACACTGAACTGGAAACAGATGTGAGTGAATTATTTTTCTTTTTGTTGTTGACAGATTGTGCAGATTAGCCCCACTGTCAACACTGGCTCTGCTGCAAGGGGGTAGGAAATGACATACATGGTCAGTGTAAAGGAAAATGAAATTGACAGAATGTTTATTTCAGAGTAAAATAGGAAGGACTCGACTGATTGATGAAGCAACAAACACTTTATGTTTTGTGTAGTTAAACAATACCATGAAGCAAAATTTTTTGATATAATAGAAAATAAATGGGAAGAGGAAGAAACATAAAACAGGCAGACATAGTACATTGGACTAGCTCTGATAGATTCAAAATGGTATTTCATGGGGCAAATTAACTTGTTTGGTGTCTGACAAGTATGTATTATGAGAGTAAGGAGAAGGTTTAGGTGGCTAGTTAAGAGGAAAATACAGAGGATCAATATGAGAAAGCCAGGAGTGGCAGATAAGTATGTGAGGGTGGTAGGACATACACAACGGTAATGAGCCAGTGTTAGGTGGGCTATGATGACAGTTTTCTGTGTGAAAAAATAGAAGGCTGAGTTGGACTCAAGCCCTTCCACTGTAGCTGCAGCAACTGTTGTTTATTTAGAATAAATGTGCTCTGCATCACATGAGTCTGGGGTAAAACAGAAGCGCAGCTCTGGTGAATCTCAGTCTCTCAGATCTCAGCTGGTAGTGACTTGTGTATATATTGCACTCAATTTAAAGATTTTTTTGAAGCATTTCTGCCTCATCTAATCTGAAATGATGTCTTAAATTGTGCAGGAAAGACAAAAGAAGCTTCAGCCCAAAGGACTTAAAGCCACACTGGGTGAAAATCCAATAAACATTTTTTGGCCTTGATCCGGTTTGTGTAAAATGTGGTAGGAAACAATGTGGAAGCCAATGTTTTTCAGATGAAGTCATGTTGTTTACAGGAGTAACAGAATCTCTGCCAATCAGCAGAGGGTATTTCCCAGAAAATTCAATCCAGCTGTACAGAACAATGTAAACCATTTGTGCATTTCATATTATATTTGGGCTTGTAGAAAATTTGAAAAATATTTGAAGAAAAACCCAAAACACTTTTGCTTTGAATGCTTAACATTCACTCTCATATATCAGAGTTAACAGCTACCAACAGGCTGTCATCATAGTTTATGATAGGTACGTAGGAAGCATCTGCTCTGTGCACTAAACACCTAATTTATGTATGAGGCCAGGTGGTTAAGCAGTGACATCATGTGTTAAAGGCCAAAAAAGTGTTAAGGTTAAACTACCCAATAAAAATATCTTTGTTCATTAGCATATTATGTAATATTTGTAAGAATTGTGAAAACCTGATAACGCAATGCCAGAGTTTCACCAAATGACGTGTGCCCTAAAATAGATTTGGGAAAACTAGATGGCAGCATTGCAGATCATTTAACTAATCGCATACTCATACAGTGGTTTGTACAAATGAATAAATATTATCAGACCTATATCAGTATCGCTTGATTTCGGAATCCGAAATTACGTATTTAGACAATATCGGCATATCGGATAACGGACATCCTTAATACAAATCCAATGCAGCAAGACCAATAGCTATCACCAGTAATCAATAAGTGAACTTGTTTATTAGTCAATGAAAACAATAGTTATGTCAAAGTCTGCAATAGTGTGTTATAATTAAATTGTATTTTTTCATTGAACGAGCATTACTAATAGATCAATACTCTATTTGCACTGAGGGCAGCATGGTTTTGTTGTCATTCGACAACATATAAAGCACAGCTCTGTAGTCACAAGTAGGAGGTCTCTACCTCAGAAGTGTTTCACAAACGCTGCTAATCACTGAAGCAAAACACTAAAGCGTAAACTGATCGTTTTGGATGGTAAAATATCGGAATCTTTTAAAACTTCTATTATCGTGAGAGGAGGCGCTTCACTCCGGGAGTTTTCTGTTAGAATAATCCATCGACAGACACGTCACTGGTCTGTTTGAGTCATGCTTTACTTTCGTAAATCCATAACTCCAGCTCATTCTGCTCATAATGAAATATTCTCCAGTTTTATTGAAAAGGGCTGCACCAGCTGTTAAACATGAAGACTTTGGTTTGAGGGTTTCCTGATGATGATTGAAATTTAAACAAAATCTTAAAACTAATCCAGCAAAATACACCGCTGCCACAACAACAAGAAAAACAACACTGCTAAAGCTCACATGTGGATGGTGGAAGTACAAGCAAACCTAGATCTAATGCAGAAAATGACTGTATATGCCTTTCACCGACCAAACTGTTCATTCTGTTATTCACTGGATTCTTTATAGTTGCTAGAAACAAATCCAGAATTTATCAGTTGAGGACAGGGTAGAATCTGAACAGTTCTAATGCCCATCATTCTGGGCTGTGAGACAAAAACAGTATTCAAACTCACATACATGACTAAAATCATTTTAGAGAGCAATAATCCTGCATTTTTGGAGAGCGGGGGGAAACCAGAGAATATCCAGGTGCACAGGAAGAACATAAATACACCATTCACAAAGACAGGACCAAGTCAAGTCCAGTCAAGTTATATTGGGTCAGGTCAAATCAAGTCAAGTCAAATCCTGTACCCCCAGTCCAATCAATCCAATCCATTCCAGTCAAATAATTTAAATTTCAGTTTTTATGGCCCACACTTACAAACACCTTTTGCCTCAAGAGACCATGTACTTGGATTTACTTTAATTACATTTAAAACTACCCCCTCCATACTGTAAAACTTTTGAAACAAGCAAAAAAATGTGGGAAATGTATATAATATCAATTTCAATACAACTGGTAATGTAAATAAACAGTATCGTAGCAGAAACTTTGTTCGTAGTGTTGGGTGTAAAAACATGTGCCACCATGTGCCTTTTTACATTTTTCACCACAGTTCTGCCATTCAACGGAACACACACATATTTGCCCTCTCCCAAAAAGGGCCGTTTCTGTTTGCCTCACAAATGCAGGGACAAAAACGTCATCCTTCTGAATAATTGATGACTTGGGAAACAGTATCACACTGTTGATGTTAATCACCTGAGAAAACAGAAACTTGAACCATTCCGTTTGTGCTGACACACACTGTATGTTGCCTTTACTGTCCGTTCTGTTTGTCAAAAAAAACCTGCCATCTGCCTCCAAGAGAACGTGTCTGTTGTCTCTAAAACCATGGTGAGGAAAACAAAACATCTCAAACAGTGAGAGTGAAAGAAGGAGAGCCCAGTGAGGCTGGGATCATCGGGGTGGGGGTGAGGGAAGGCAGGGAGGAGGGGGACGCCTGTCCTCGGACTAAAAACAGATGTGCTGACAAACCAGCCGGCTGCTGCTTTCGGCAAAGTGACCCGACAGCTGTGAGTTGCTTTGACCCAGATGTGTTCCGTAGGTAATAATGTTTTCTATAATTTGCTAGATTTAAAAAAGAAAAAAAAGAAAGAAATATTATGTTGCTGCTCGTGCCTCCTTTTCTATAATTTGCTAGATTTAAAAAATAAATGTTGCTGCTCGTGCCTCGTAAGTTGTCTTGGTCAAGCTGTGGAGCCATGTTAAAACTTAAGAAACAAAGTACTAAGCAGTAAAACTATAAATAAAGTGAATTATTTGTCATTGTGACACAGCCCACAACAAAATGTGACCTCTGCATTTAACCCATCAACAAAGAGAGCAGATCAAGCTTTCTTTTCTGATTAATCACAATTAATTGCTAATGATCTGAGACGACCCAAAAAAAAAAAAAAATCTCTTGCGACCCAGTCTTTGGGAAAAAATTAGTTATACAGTAAAATTTAATTTACCTGAAACGCCAGGAAACAGTTAAAGGTCCAAATGATGAAGCATAGAGACGAAAATGTCGTCAACCTCAGGTCCAGGAGACTCTCAGATACTTCGCTGTAACAGTTCGAGACGCCTTTCCATCTGTGGCAAAAAAATATATGAATAAATAAATAAAATAAATAAGTGAAAAAAATTATAGGGACCAAACAATGGATGTATTTATAAGAAAGGATTGGAACTGTTTGTGTTCTCAGTGACCGACATTAGTTGGTCTCCCTGCAGGAAGTCTGTAAAACAAAAGCTAAAATCGATGCTGCCAATCAGCCATCAACTGAACAATGAGGTCACTGCTTCCAGACAGAAGGCAGATAAGAGCTGAGCGTGGTCTAATGGCAGCGCTCTGAAAAACTGTTCTGCACTGCTGTCATACTCTTGGACAGAACTTTTACAACCTATGGGCTCCACTTTTATTGGCTCTCCTGTGTCGACTATTGTCTTTTACTGGAGACTATCAAGACAGCTTTGTCCTTATTTATTACATTCTGCACTTGGTAGGAAACACATTATTAATCCCATTTCAGATTTTTCATTTATAATGGAATGGTTTTTATTACATCATTTCAGATTTTTCATTTATAATGGGATGGTTTATTACATCTCTAAGGAAGTTGACAGTCGGTATAGTGCTAAAACACCTGTTAAAACTCTTTATTTGGGGGAGAGAGGGGGATTATTACATGTTTTATTCCACAATGAGCAGAGATACAATTATACCATTAGTTAACCATGTGTGACGTATCAAAACTTACAATCCTAATTTTGTTTTTTATGTTATACTTCATATAAAATCAAGTAAATTATCACAAACTTTTACCTTTTCTTTTCTTTTTTCATCACGGCGGTAGTGGTCTGCACAGAGATTTTACACTGAGTACCCTTCCTGACCTGGGATTTGGAGATTAGGTGGTATCGAATCCGGATCCTCCTGGTGGCAGGCGGGGGTCCTGTCAGTCCAGCTCCCTTATGACAATAAAACATTTTATATTATCAATTGTTTATTTCTTTTGTTAGGATGAGATACCAGCCTCAGAGCTTTGAATAAAATTACATGTTTTGTTATTTTACAGATGCAGCAGTTCACCTCAAATACAAAGTACACAGGAAACCCTCCATGGATATCTCCTGACATAACAAACACTTCATGCTAGTTGCGTCTACTGCCAACTGTAACTAAGTTTTTTCTACACCTTACGCAAGACAGATGGATTGTGTTGAAAAATGTATGAACAGGGCCAGTGTTAGATTTGATAACAAATATATTATGTGCTAACTGAATCAGGGTTGCCATTAAAAACACCTCAGAAGCTGATTTTTTGACAAAAGACTTTAGGGAATCTTTGATGTATGTCTGCCTTTGTTCACATTTATGTATTTTCCAGAACAAAAGTTAAAGTTTCCCCTTCTTTTATTCTAAGTGTTGGATGTTATTCCACCTCAGGGCACGTCTGGAAACAGAGACATGATGATGAGTAAATCAGGTCTTTTCATCAGTTTCCCTCACTCATGAAACCTGAGGAGGTTGAATGATTCCTCAGAGGATCATCTGTGAACCTTATGTTTCCATAAAGAAAAGTTGGCTGATTTTTCTTTATTCCCATGCATTAGTCATAGGAGTTATGTTATGTTGCCCCTCCCCCTCACTACCATTTATGCGAGGATGACTATTGACATGTGCGGCTAAGGACAAGTTGCATTTGTACTAGCTTTGATTTCACTTGTGAAATTTTTCACCTTTTTAAACTTCATGTTAACCATGAAAACACCATTGGTTACGAATAAGAAACTTTAACTTTCCTGAGGGCAGATACTCTGCTCAGCTCTACAGCTTGATATAAATGCATTTGTTTTCTTGAACACAGTTATCCATTAATGATATGTAACCAGATCTGTAAACTTTCAACAAGAAAACAGACTCACAGACAGTTCTGATACTGCCAAGTACTTTTACGCTTCTGGGACTACATTTATGGAAAAGCAGTTACGAAGTTCTGTCTAGTTACTTCAGTGATGTCACCTTAAAAAAAAAAAAAAAAAAAATTTTTTGATCAACATCTTTGTGTATAAAACCTCAGTATTCATACAGTTTTATCAATTAAAAGTGACTTTGAAGTGACTTTTAAAAGTAAAGCGTGTTTTGGCTCTTCAGCAAAACATATGACACTGCTGTCTGCATTCACTGGTATTACATTGCTGATGCAAAAATATTAACAACTTAAATGTTTAATTTTGAATACAAGACTTTCAAAAAAATAAATACATTAATTAAATAAGTTGAGTTTAGCACAAAGGGAAGATGAGTTACATAATATAATGAATTCATACCTGACAAGTTTGTCAGCAACTGATGTTGACAATAAAAAATAAATAAAAAAAATGCAACAAACATAGATCACCTAATACATTATTCTAAATTTAAAGGTGATTAAAAAAAACACTTTAATACCACCTTAAATCACTGTCTGCACAGCAGCGAATGCTGTAGTTCTTTTTGTCCAAATGTCCTGTCACTGGAATTCTCATTATTGTTGTTATGGATAAAGAAGCTCAGACCATAAACAAGTCGCTTCTTTCCAGGATTTCTTTTCCAAAATGCACAAGAACACAGGTAGCCCTGGGATAACACAGGAAGTTGTTGATCCAGGAAAATCAATTAAACACACCCTGACACTGGAACATGGCCCACGATGACCTTAACCCTGTGTCTGAAGGTACAAAAGAAGTTTAGCTTTGAAAAAGAATAAATAGCTAAAAATACATTTGCTTGGCTGCATTCATGCCATGCAGTTTATTTTATTTTATGTTTAGTTTGTGTGACTATAGAACCCTTTTAACAAGAATTCCCCAAAAAAGAAAAAAAAGTGTGTGAAAAATACCATGTTTTTATCAATTTTATTCATGTTTAACTCATAACTGTGTGGCGCTTTGGCCCAGAGGCAATGTCTCTGTCTTTGGTGTGGAACCCCAGGCTCAACTCCTGGGCAAGTGCGAATCCCGGTTAGGGCGGTTGGTACCTTCCAGTGGACTCACCACCTGCAGGAAGGTTTAGGTCGGGTTGGTACGGTGCAATGTGATTTGGGTGGTGGTCATGGAGACTGCTGCCCCCGTGACCCGGTAACGGATAAGTGGATGAAAATGGATGGATGGAACTCATAACTGTGTTTAATTTGTTGATATAAAATATACATCTAGATCTAGATTATAATGCATTTACTAATGTTAATTAAAATTATAATAAGTTTGATTAAATCCATTCTTGAAAAATGACATGAAGTTTTTGGAGGACATTGTCTTTATTTCCTCTTATTTTGTTATTTTAAACTCCTGTTATATTGATGGCTGTCTCACATGACCTCCATGTGGAAAAGGATGGAACTCCACATTCAAAATGTCTCTGAAAGTGATCAAATGACATGAGCTTTGGAAGCAATTTGTAAGGTGATAAAATGAGCAACATTTTCCTGAAACAGTGTGAAAAATATCTAGAGGGAAGCTAAGAGAGGACGCCAAACATCTTTTCCCACTAATAATTTAAAGACAAAAATGAGCTTTCATTTAAAAAAAAAAACTCACTCTGGTGGAGATGGAGGAAAAATCAACTACAATAACATTAATAACCAGTGTCATGTTAGCTTTAGTAGCCATTCGAATAACATTACATTCACTATGGCGTCATTCACAGCAGTGGTTTTCTGAATTTAACCAGAGTGTGCAAATTCAAACATCCTGTGATTTTAATTATATATTGACGACCCCTGAGGGTGACATAGTTATAGTCTACAAATGTGGGTCAGGCTACAGACGAAACCTCACGCACAAGAAACAATAGATACTGTATCACACGCCCTCAGTTTAGCAGCCAGTTTGCCATTATGTTAATACATTTAAGAGTATAAATTCTAATGTTCATGTAAGGTCCCCTCATTGGAAGCTTTTATTGGATCTGGGCTGCTTCCATGATTGGGAAACAAACACTGCCTTGGTTGAGCAGAAACAGCAATGTGGCTAACCTGTGGAGCTGTTAGCAGACCTGTATGTGGTTTTTTCTATAACAAACAGCCTTAACTGCAAATTAAATGTTGTTGAAATTGAGCTTCTTGTTCCCTGATTTTGCTTTTGATACTTAAAAAAACATGGATTCTACAAAAGTAGGATGTAATATACAGTAAATGTATGCACCAGCATTTTCCACAGTTCAGTAATACTGCATTTGAAACATGTTTTGTTTCAATAAATAGGTTTATTCAAGTGACTAACATAGAGTAAAAATCCATATTTGTGTGAAACCTTTAACTCACCGCCTCCACAGACAGGAGCTGTGATAGCCACTCAGCTTCTCCTGAATACAGGAATATAACTTATAATCCTATAATTATTGTTTGTGATCACAATGTACAATTTCAACACTTTCTTTTCACTGAAGTGCCACAAACATTGAGTTGGATTTGCATTTATTTGTGTGTTTGCTAAAAGCACTCACTCACCATTCTTTTGTGTCTCTCTCTTTTCCTGTGTTCGGGTAAAAGAGTCCCCAAGGAACAGGAAGATTTTTAAGGTTCCAGGAGCAAAGTTGTAGGGAGGTTGATGAAAGGTAAACCTGGTAGTAATCATTGGTGAAGTGAAGACTATTTTTTAAATCTAATTTAATGATATTCCTTGTTTATTTTGAAGCTAATTATTTATACTTCTGAAGTTTGAGCACAACTGTAAATAGTATTTTTAACAATACAGGTGGACAAAAGCTGTTATTGTCCTCTATGATTTGATGCTGCTCATACAGTACTCTGTATTATTACTCTGCTTATAGTGTTATTCAAATCTATTTAGTTCAGACAGACTGTACAGCAGCCATGGCATTTCTTAGCCCTTAATTATGCTAACAGTTGTATCCAAAGCACATTTGGCTTAAAGTAAAAACATCCTGGACATAGAAATGGAAGCTGTGACTTTTATTTAAATTCCAAAAAAGTGTTATCACACTTGGAACAATCCAGAGCTATTTATGAGATATTTATTTATAATAATTAATTTATGTTTACCTACGTAGAAATGTTTGTTTAAATGCGTCTTTGCCTGTGTCTGCTCCTTTTACCCCACTGACTTCCTGCCAATAAACACTGCAGCCCAAGAATGTCATGACCACAACATATGACCTCACTTAGATAAAGAAACGAGAGCTAGCATTATTCACTGAGGATGATATCATTAATATATTTTAAGCCTGCAGCCAATACAGACAACTATTCCAACCCTGTTACATTTACATTTACATTTTAAGTGTCAGATGTTGTTTCATCAAAGGTTTGTCAAAGGCACAAATATGCATGATATAATTAAATAACAATGACCATATAGTATTGTTTTAAGTTGTGTTATATTTTTTAAAAATATTACTTAACATTTTCAGTATCTGCACATATCTTCTTATGCTTTGTTGTGTCAAATTTCTACAAAATAAAATATTGAATTTTAAACTGCATTTCTGAAGGTGCACTTTTCTGAGTTTAAATACTTCTTCATCATACCATTTTCAGTATCTGCACATATCTTCTTTTGCTTTGTTGTTTCAAATTTCTACTTCTTCATCATAGTTTTTTCACATAGGAAAAGCTTAGGCAATTTCCAGCAGTCATTCGACAAGGAAGTCTACATTCTACAGCAGTTGACATAGTTAATGACTTTGTGTTACGCAATGTGAATCTTTCCCGTTTTATTCTTAAAAAGTTTCACCCCACATGTCCTACAATCATCATGTCTTCATCACTGAAACTATCGCTGCAGATTCACTTTTACCGTCAAACATATCCTCCACTTGATAAAACAGATACAATCATTTCCTTCAGACTCAGAATTTTTATTTACTGACTGCCACAAACCAAAGCCATAACCTATTAAACAGCCGGATAAGTGAGAAATGATTGTTCCAGCTGCTGTTTTGATGAAGTTGCATCACGGAGTTTTTTTCAAATGGTGGCCTCGTGGTTGATCAGCCAAAGCCACTGTGTATTTCTGACTGTAAATACAATACATTCTACTTCGAATACGACTGACTCAAAATCTTAAGAGAGACAATAATAAGTAAAAACACAAGCAAAACCCTAATGTTCCTCATTGTTACTCCCCGTGAGAAAATGTCAAACTGTTACCCTGTTAAAAGTTTAACTGTGGCCACAAAAACCACAGGAAAGAAAATCTCCAAATATACAACTGTGTCTGGAGCCATGTGACATTAAAATAGACACACAGGGCACTTCACCAAACCAGGTTTAGATTTATTTTCCATGTTTAGGGAATTTTATGTACCGAAGCTCCTCATGTCGTTGAGCATTATGTAATGCTGAAGGTAAAACATTAAACCATATCCTGCCATCTGTTTGACAGCTCTGTGTGGGTCAGTTATACTGTCATCATTTTTGTTTTTCATTTAATTTAAGCAGGCAAGTTTAATGTGAATTTAATTTACAAAAAATAAAATATTTTCAACCAAAATAATATTTATTTTTTAATCTCTAAACTGGCTGTATATTTTAAGGTTGGACGGAATATTATCTGATTAAAGAAAATGCCTTTTTATATAACTTGTTATTTCTTAAACAAAATACAGAAAACAAACCCCAGTCGTACACTGCAGGTTGAATTTGTCACTTCACTGCTGGTGGACGCTTTTAGCTGAGCTTGTGTTTATTTCTTTACCTGAGTACATCCTGTAAAGGTAACCGCTGAAACATTATTTTCATAGGCCCTGTGGTAGCACGCTGAGGGTCACACGACATCTAAAAATATGAAAACCAAAAATAAATAAAGGAGAATTGAATGTCTTCTGTTGTTCAGGTCTTGCAACACATGGTCTACGAATCTCTGCGTACTATTATAGCTGCATAAAACGTGTATTATATTTTACATTTTCAACCCAACAGCTCTGTCTCTTACTGTACAATGGCTGATATTGTCTGTTGGGTAAAACGACCTTCTGTTCCCACTTCATATTTACATGTTCTAAAAGTTCATTTCCAAAAATAAAACAACTCTTGAAATGAACACAGTGTCTACATTTTCCCAGATAAAGTGACAAGCTAGTTGGGTTTTATCCAAAAAGGAGTCATAGAATGCCTTCCATTGAAACACCCATAGTGCCCTCTATCGACCAAATCAGGGAAGTAACGTTTATCAGCTTTTGTAAAGTCAAACATTGCGGTAATTACGATAAGTAATTAAGTATAATTTTTATTTTAAGGTTAATTTACCTAGCGCTGTAGTACACACAATACCCTCACAATATCTTTTTCTTGGTTTTCTTTTTTCTGTCCCTTTTGGAATGTTCTTAGAGAAATCGTTTATCAGTGTAAACATAGACCCAGTAGACGGCGGTAATGAAACCCACAAGATTCAAAAGCAAAGGTAAAAGGAATGAATGTTTAACTTGTCGTAGCGTTAGGAAAGACAGACATAAAATACAATACTAGGTAATGCTAACATAGTGCTTATGAGCGGTATATCGGTACAACATGCTGCTATTTTCTTGTACTAGCATGCTGCTAAATCAGCACTAAAAAACTAGATGCTAGTAAGGTGATAAATAGTTTTAATGATGTGCATTTTTTTATAACCAGTAGAAAAAAACGAATCTTTCTCAAAGTATTTTCTTTCTAAGTTTTTGTCAAGTGTACTGGACAGTTAACAACGGCAAATTAATTTAATAAAGCTATTCCTGTTTAGCATTACCTTATTAAATTATTATTTAATAAGATCATTTTAAACATAACAAAGCTATTCCTGTTTAGCATTACCATTAGTTTAATAAGATCATTTTAAACAATACATAGAGAACGTTATTTTATTGAGTGTAACTACGTACCAATGTTATTCAATTCATTTTGTTCTGTTTCCCCCTTGGATTTCATTTAGAGGAAAAATGTGCATTGGTTCAAGGCACCTGGGAGCCACCTTCCAAACCGCTAACCTCCCACTTGTAGCTGCTGCTCAGAAAGGTAAATTAATTTAATTTACAATGTTGATTTATTTGAGCTATAAATTGGAATGTGACCAGAGAGTGGGTTGTCGAATACATCAAATACCTGCATTTGAGTATGAGACAATTGTAACCTTACTATAACTAATATTCACAAACAGTGTAGCCGTAAACCAACAAACTTTATTACATACTGCATGTCCTCTGTGGCATTATACATCTATGTTCAACATCAGAATATATATGGCTCTGATTTCAAGGTACATAAACACTGGACAAAATACCCTGTTTGAACAGACAACCAATAAAAAGTGCACAAATAAAGTTAACTCAAGTCAACTGCATCATAGTACACAACTGCTGTTGGGTTTGAGAAAGAAATGAGTTAAAGCTTACATTCAGAATCCTCAAGAGGTGAGAGGTTTGAGGACAGTTTCATGGGACAGTATTCGTTATACTCTGGTGCTAGATGAAGTAGTAACCCATGCATTGTAGTAAAACAGCACACACACACATACCTGCACATTCACACACACAAACACTTACTCACAAACGAAACCTAAGTATAAATGCTGTATATTTGGCACCATAAATTAGCATAGATCATAAAGTACAACTTGCAATACAATACTGTTAGTAGTATATGGAGGTAATATGTAATTTTGGCACATTACAGGAACACTCAGGGTTTAAAAAGTTCAGGTAATCCTCCTTACTACTCACTCAGACTTGAAGGAAATGTTTTGGAGATAAACAAAAAACAAAAACGAACTAATCAAGTGTTTATAACGAGAATTCCTCAACATTAAAATGTTTTACAGCTGATGGAGGTGGAATTCAATTGTTGGTGACATCAGTAATGAATGTTAAATGACAAGGAAAGCACCATATTTCCTTGGACAGTTTAAAATAGTTTGCAGCGTTTTTCGGTGTCAAATTGACAAACGTAAAGACGTTTGTTGACTTTGTTGACGACCTGTGTAAACTCTTAAAGCCAAGCTGTTATCAGAATCTAGCAAAGACATAATCATATATTGCACTCTAGAAAACATCCTAAGTCCTTACTGCAAAAAGGGGTTGGTCCTGGCCTGTTCAAACCAGCTTGACAAAGAAAAAATGGTATATAGATATTGAATTAATAAGGTATTCAGTAATACTATGTTTATTATAACACTGTGTATATATTAAATTTGATATATAGATTATTTCAACAGTATGATATGAAAGATACATATTTATAAATTACTATGAATATAGGCAGATGCCTCTGTGGAGCAGACGCAGCGCCGGATATAACATAATAACCATTTTATGGTTAATTCTCTTCATACAACCAAATAAACGCTTCCACACGAAACTCACAGGGTGAGTCGGTGTGAAACTCCATAGTGGTTATGAATTGAAGCCTCCCATGCACAGAGAGGTTTCAATACAGGTCGAGACTGGTTTTCAAACAGGCCAGTGTGAACCTTAGAAATCTCAGCATGCATGCTAAGTAGAACAGCACTCCCTAGTGGACACATAGAAAAATTACAGAAATGCCTCAATGCGAGTGAAATATTGTTAATAGCTTGTGGTGCCTTACTGGAAATAAGTGAGAGCACATTTAATACAATTCCACATATTACTTTGGAGGTTTGTATTTGAATGTCAGTTTGCGGTAAATAGAGTCATCAAGGGCCCGTCACCTGCCACACCGTATTACCACCTCTTGTTTTCAGTCTGTCTCCCCTCACACAGTCACCATATGTACATTTGCACCAACATTTATGTATATATATGTATATATATATATATATATATACATATATGTATGTATATATTAGAGTCACATCAGTATTCTATCTGAGAGCAGCAGGAACACATATGCACTGTATACTTTAAGGACAGAAAACAAGGAACGAACAATTCCTTCATATCACTGAATCTGTGTTGACCTCAATCTGTGGTGGGGCACAGCATGATGTGTCGAGAGGTGAGATAGTGACCATTCTGGGGGGGGTGCGAAGAAACCCCCCAGTTTAAGCTTGTTTGTTTGTCAGAGAAAAAAACACACGCAAGTTTTATGCCTCAGGCTTGACTGGCAAGCTGCCCTGACTCCTTGGTAACTTCACTGTATCTTCCACAGATGTACCAAACCACCGATCAGAACCATCAACCTCTATTAGGAACAGATACGCAACACTAACTTTACAAGAATATAGCCTGTTTCCAAAGACATGCAGGCAATGTCCACCATCACAGATGGCTAAATCACAAACAAGATCAACGACGTACGAGAAACCCTCATGTGGCTATATCATTAAGGAGCAACTTTAGAATTAAAATGCCAGCAGCATGCACTTTGCGCGAAAGAGAGGCAGAAATGAAGGCCCTTAAACTTACTCATAACATAACTCCACGTTTGGCTATGCAAATTCACTCCACACTGGAATAGAGAAGCTCACAACATCCACGGTCTGCAAGGAAAAAATAGCTAAAACTGCATGAAAGCCACGCTCTACTCTATAACTCTACTGCCAGCTTTTTACAACCCTGTTCCAATACTGTCTGCCAGTTCAGCAACATCCCACATTTTCAAATGTAGAAGACATTTTTTAAAAGAAAATGCAAAGATGTCGTTCACTTATTTCACTGCATCATCAAATTTACTTCCACTCGACACTCGGCTGACCACACTGCACTGGCACTTATCTGCGTCCTTTAACTGAAAATATATGACACTTCAATTCACCATTTGAAGTGGTACTACACGGGTACTACAATGTCATAAGTAAATGTACAGCAGTGATGGTGGTTCACGCTCTAAACCACGGGGGTATATGACAATGCCAGCGCTGTCTGGACTGAGCTTACTGCAGCCACATCTGGCACTCAGTAGAAGCATGTTGGTCTCCCTATTGCTGCAGGAGGACGGATAAAGACACCTGAGCCCTGGGAGGACCAAGATTTAGCCAAGATGAAGCCGTAATGGTCAACGAGCTGCCTGATTCCAAACTGTCCCACCCTGTAGACCACCTAGAGACCAGTGAGGTCCACGATTGCCTTGATGAAAATAGTGTCATCACGTATGTAAGAATTCTTGCCGTCGAGCTTGGAGAGTGGACAAAAAAGCGGACAGCCACTGGCGATGTTCATTTCGCTCACAGGTCTCTGGAAGGAGGAGGAGGTGACGTCGGGTCGGAAGGCGTCGATGATGTGCTCCCTGTTGCTCTGGTCCAGCAGCATCAGAGTCACCTTAAGACAGAAGAAGATGACTTTTCCATGTATATTTTTCTGATAAAAAACTGTGGGGAATGGGTTGGGGGATGCTGTGGGATGGATTCCATCTACACCTAGCCTTACTGTCAGTAGGTAGATGACAAAACCTGTTGTGTGAAGTGCTTCAAGTGGTCATTTAAGGTACTACAAAAGCACGTAATATTAACCTTGAACAGAATGCCCAATATGCAGCCCCCCAAGACTGGGCAGAGAACATGGATTCCTTCCATAAAAAGAGTTAGAGTCACCTGTATGTCCTAAGAAGGCTGGAGTCCTTTAACTTTATTCAAACTCTGCTAAGAATGATTAATAAAGCTGTAGTAGTCAGTGATTGCCACACTTATGGAAGTTACCAAAACTATTTGACTTAACATTTATACGAGTAAAGAAGACAGCCTGCCATTGGACAACTGCTAAAGACTGAATTTCAGTTTACCTTCTGGTTGAAGGGCCATTTGAGCAGAGCGTCACTCTGTCCCCTCATCACCACAAAGAACAAGGACAAGTGGCTGCCACGCCCCGTCCCATCGCCGTTCAGATAGATGCGCAGACACATCTTGTAGCCATACTTATTGGTGTAGAAGGCTGTAGTAGAAAGATGCAGAGGTAATACAACTTCAATCGTGAAGATGCTCTCACAGTTGGGACAATTTGATTGGACATCATCATTAACTATACCATGCATTTATTTGGACTTATTTGGAGATATCCTGTCTAGTCGTTCAAATGCCCATGTTACCTGGTGAGAACATAGCGGGGGCCCGACCAGCAATGGCATCCTGTCTCTTTTTGCCAAAATCAGAAATCCTCCAAACAAAGACGCCATCAAAGGTAGTGGCCGCCATTTCCCGCAGGCGACCCTCCATCTCAGCAACCGTCAGGTCCTTCAGGCCCACTGTCCTCTCCAGCTGTCGCACCTGGAAGACCACCACAATCAACACTCCCACTTTTGGAGAAAATAGAAGGGTTTTTCAATATGTAATTATAATCCCACCTTATTACTAAGGGCCTCGATCTTATCCTGGTCCAGTTTATGCTGGCGGTTGCTAGCCTCCATGGTGGTGGCGAACCTTTCCACCTCTCTGTTCAGGACACAAACCACATTTTCAAAAGTGCTGGACTTGACTTCCAGTTCCGAGCACCTGCGTCCCAACTCCGCCACCTTGGTCTTCTCACTGTGGAGCTGGAGCTCTAACGCCGCTCCTACCGAGCTGGGCAAAGGTGTAAAGGAGGTAGACACAGACAGAGTGGGAGCCAGTGTTGGAGGTGGAGGGAGAGGAGCTGAAGTGGATGGACCAGAGGGACCAGCGCTGGAGGATGAAGTGGAGGCGACGGCTCCCTGCACGGGAGGCCCAGAGGAGGTGGTGCTGAGCTGGGAGACTCTGGCCTCCAGCTCCCTGAGGGACTGTTGAAGTTCAACTAGTTTGTGTCCGGCTACTTCCAGTCCCTGGGGCTGCAGGCCCTCCATGCTGACTTTCATGCCCATAATGTAGTGCAGCAGCAGATTCAGGTGTTCGTAGGCGTAAGCTCGCTCATGGTCGTGAATCTTTTCCTTCTCCACCTTTGTAAAGAGAAAATTAACGTTGGGTCAGGCACTTCTGTTAAGCAAGTTAATCAAATATTGGGGCAAAAATAGCCCAACTATAAAATATGGGCTGGACTGGTTCTTTTGTCTTTACTCTCTCCATCAAGGCCAGTGACATGGACACACACAGGCTTGGACATACACATGGACACATAAGAATAATTATTTCTTTTTTTAAAATAATATAGAATATTATACAATTTATTTTTTTATTTATTTTCAAAAAATGAAAAAAAATGCAAAAAACCATTGAGAAAAATATAGTTTTAAAATGTGGGAGAAATCCAACCAACATATTTAACATATGAAACTGAAGCAAAAACAAAAAAAACAGGACCAGGAATAAGAGTGTGATAATGCAACTAAAACAGGTCATGTGACAGGTAACTTACAGACATGTCACATCCAACCACATGAAATCGGCATGGAGTCCTGAATTTACTGCAAAACTTAATGTGGTCCACGTACTGTGAAAAAGAAAAGAACACAGACAATTACGATATATGACATAAGAATAAGATGTGTTTCAGTACTAATATGATGAACTCACATACTAGAGTAACATATCTATTATTAAATTGTTAATTCATAAATTATAGTCTTTATTGTCATTGTAACACGGATACAACCAAATTGAGCCTCGGCTTTTAACCCATCACCAAGGTGAGCAGTGGGCAGCTTTAAGCGCCCAGGGAGCAGTGTGTGGGGACGGTGCCATGCTCAGAGCAGCTCAGTGGTAACTTGGCAGCTGGTGGATTCAAACCTATTATTACTGTATGTGGTGTTTTGATTTATATATTTTGCATCTCTTACATCTTTCTCTTATATACAGTACTGTATGTACATGTTCCTAACCGCAGCTACAGTAGTAGCAGTTCCAACATGTGACAGTGTCAGTGTGTCCATGTCTTGTCTCTTGTCTCCTCTGGTCTGGTCTTCATGTGCTGCATGTGCTGGTTCACCTTTTCTCTGGGGATCTTCTTCTTGGCACAGCCTTCACAGATCATCGGGTACTTGGGGCAGATCTCATCATGGGCCTGACGGAAAGTGGGAGTAGACAAAAGTGCTGCTGTGGTGTGCTAAGACCTTACAGGGATCTGAAGCCTAAATAAATCATTCCTGACCTTGATGTTTTTGAAGTGAAATGGCTCCTTGCAGTACTTGCAGTTGAGCGTTCTCTCCGGACACTCGCGCTCATTATGGCGCTCCTGTTCGTTGAAGCGAATGCATTCCTTACAGGAGGGGCAGGGGATGATCATGAACTCGCAATGTCCCTCGTGGCTCATCTGTGGGAAGCAGAGCCGACTGTCAGCTCAGTCTAGTTTATCCACTTTTGTCATACTCAGGTTCAATGGGGGACGAAAGTCCTCTTACCTCATACTCCTTAATACTGCCTTTCCATGTGCAGTTTTCATTAATGCAAGCAGCTGATAGGCTTTCAACTTCCCTTCGAACTGCATTGTCTGGAAAAGCCTGAAAAAGCAAGCAAAAAAGAATCAGAGCTTACTGTCCATCCATCATATACATCCATTATCGCTTATATCTTCTCAGTCTCGAGCACTCGAGCAAATTCCAGCTATATCTACGGGGGAGGGTGAGGTACACCCTGCACTGTTCACCAGTCCATCACCAGGCCATATATAGGGACAAACAACCATTCATACTCACATTCATACCTATGGTCAATTTATAGAGATGATACACACTGTGAGGATACATTTTCATTTACCAGCTCAATGCCTTGCATGCATTGCAGTTAATTAGTACTACTACAACTACAATTATGGCATAGTTGTGAGTAATTGTGAATAATTATGGTTCATCTACAGCTACAATGTTTAATCAGAACAATTAATTAATTGATAGTTCTTGAATTTACGTTAGAAACATTTTCATTGCAAATGTAATCAGAAAAACTTTGAATTTTCAAGACTCAGAAAACTAAAAGAAATATAAATACACTGTAATACTCACACATCCTTGTTTCAGTATTGATGTGGGGTCCTCAAATATATCCTCCTTGATACAGGCATTGCATTTCTGGGGTCCATTACTGCAATAATACACATACAAAATATCTCTTATGTAGAGTAAAAACACGTGCAGTCTTAAAATGAGTGGTTACACCACACACACACACACCTGACAGTCCTGTTGAAGCAGTAAGAACAGAATCTGTGTCCACACTGGGCCTGAAATGGGCGTCTGAGTATGTTGTGGCAGCAGTTGCACAGATGCTTGTCCTCCAGCTTGTTGCCCAGAATCTTCTTGGGGAAGCCTGGTTTGTTGCTCTCCATGGATGAAGGAGGGGACGGTTCCTGCGTGGCCATGGTGTCTATTCACACGTTGCACCTGAGAAAAAAAAAGTAAGATGATGTCAAGAATCAAAACAGATAAAGAGATATTTGATCTGTTTTCTTAAAGTTTCTCAGAAATATGATGCAACATTTAAAGATTTCAGATTTCAACTGAGTTTTCTTTTAATGAGTTAGTTTGTCTGCATCTCTTGAATTGTTACCTGAGGTACACAAGGCTCATTAAGAATACCTCTAGGTCTAAGTATTTGTTAAAAGTGGATTTAAACATGGACATGTTGAGATTTCTGTAATGAAGTGGAGTGATATCAATCGTTGATTTTTCTTCTTGTTTTTATTAATTACGTATGACTAAGGCCCTAACACAAACAACAGCAGGGTTGACATGTGTATAAAGAATGACTCTGATCATACTATAACACTCTCCTCCATGTGACTGTTGACAAACTGTTCCCGTTGTCAAAACTCTCGTCATGTCTCATACAGACCTAAGGAAGCTCTCTGCTCTCCCAGATTTCCTTCTCTATCTTGGTCAAATGTATGCCAGTTGAACTCAGCCCTGTAGTGCTGGATACGTCGACATGTTTCCAACAGAGCTGCACTTGTGCTGAATTAGTCTCAGCACCTATTGAAACACCAGCCGCTCGAGCATTCTTGTGCCTGAAGCTGCTGCCATCTGTGCCAAGCACCTTCTTTCAAAGTCACTCGGATCTTCTCCTCTCATCATCTCTACTCAAACTCCGAACCAACAGAGCCCGCTCTGCTTTTTATACCCTCCGTAGAGGAGCAAGACTGGATGTTATTTGCTTAGCTGTGTCCTCCAGTGCACCTGCGTTTATTTCTTCACTCTGCGATTTAGAATTTCCTTTTCATTCCTTACGTGAACCTGGTCTGTACACAATTTGCACTCAACATCATCAGGAGGAAAGTTTTTGCTGTGGCTTGAGGTTATTTAGAGTCAGTGAAAAGACTACACAAAAACAACCCATTACCTTTACATTTCTAAGTTGCAGAAAAATTTCATAATAAAAATAATTGTATATAATTTACAATATCACTTTAATGTCTTGAGTTGTCGTAAAGACAAGAAACAAAGGCATCCCAGGCAGCTTAAATGTTTTGAATAGCAAGAGTGCCCAATAATAATAATAATAACTGCAACATAAATATAATGTATAAACACTATTCAGTTTATAAATGGTTATATTAATAGAAATTGACAAAGTGCAGACTCTTTTTTCAGTGTGAGTTATTTTTACCAAGTTGAATGGTGACAGCAACAAAGATTTTTTTTTAGCTGCACTTTTGTCTCATCAAGAAAGGTTTAAATGTTACACCGACACATTTTGACTCTGTTCTGACACCTTCCGTTGTACCAACCATTCTGAAAATGTTTAAAAGTGATGACAGAAGTTACTGTTGTGAACAATCAACATGTAAAAATAGAGTGGAGTACAGGATTACAGCATCTATCAACATGTAAAAATAGAGTGGAGTACACGATTACAGCAGTGTTTGAACCTGAGACAAAAGTGGGAGAGGACATGTAGGAGACAGGAGACAGGAGCCAGGTCCTGTCCATTCCCAACAACATTAACGTCTCTGCATATGTGATGAGGACATGACCCTAACCCCGAACGCCTTGACCAGCCTTTACGTTAAAATCTGCCAGCCTTTAAGCATGTCTTCATCCAGAGTGTGTGGCATCTCCTCCTCCCCCTACTCCTCCATCCACAGCCGCCGCTGCTCCTCCATGTCTGGCCACAGCATCACAGGCCAGCTGGAAGGCCCACACCCATTGTTTACATGTACTCTCAGCTTCCCTGTAGTGTGAACTTGGCACAGAGTGATGATGAGGATGACGAGGGCGGTGATGATGATGGTGATGATGGTGATGCTGATCACCAGGCTGCTTCTCTTTCTTCCTCAGCTCAGCCTACCCAGTAACGATGCACTCAGATCGCACATTCATTGTCTCTCTGCCTCCTCCTCTGGCTTCCTTTTGCCTCCTTGTTGCTAAGCCATCAGCATCCTCTGCTCAGAAGTGGTACCCAGCCAGCGCACGGCCACGCCCCTTTGTAAGCTGAAGCTTGCAGCCTGCAAGAGAGCGTTTAGCAGAAAAGCATCGCCCAGCGCTGTTGCCGTGAGCGGAGTTTGCACTTACCAGCGTCTTCAGTCTAAACTGTCATCGTGGTCAAAGGTTGTGAAAAGGCTTCTTCCGCTCTCAGCCGGACGCTCGTGCGCGGTGCCGCTGTTACACACGTTTCTGCAGCCGAGGGGACGCGTTTTCATCAGGCTTAGTCACATAATAGAGACGTGGTCCCCAGAAGCGACAGCTGTTATTGTCCAGTATCGCCATTGCACTTTCAGACTGGCTCTTACGTCAATCGGTGGGAGGAGCTCGGGTTGATAGGCAGAAGAGGTGTAGAGGCAGGCACGTGATTGGTCCAAAAATTCAGGAGTGGGCGGAGGGTTTGTTGGAGAGCACAAGGAAGCTCCAGACAACACGGTTCAATAATACACAGGATGGCATTTGGTTTATCTCCATCTTTTGTTATTTCATCACCAAAAATACAGGTACTGCTATCAAATAGCATCTGTGCTAATATAATTATTTATATAGAAAATGATTTTTTTTTCATTTTAATCACACAATTGGAGTATAAACCACTTAACTAGATCTTTATATAAGACAAAGAAAATCATTCCAAGAACAAGTTCTTAAACCTATAAACATCAAACCTCCCTGCGATGAGATACAACTACACAGAGATTTAAAAATTTCAACTAACAAGTTACAGTGAGTAAAACTAGAAGATGAAACAGAAGGAGAAGACTGATCCACTGATCCACAGTTATGAAACAGAAGGAGAAGACTGATCCACAGTAGTGAATATTGTTACAATAAAGTCTACAGTCCCAGCCATATCCACAGTCTAAACCACGTCATCGTACGGTGGTCATATGACTCTAAAATACTACAGTACCAGAAACCTGCTGAATGATTCCACTCTTTACCCCGTCATATAAATAGATGACATAAATATAATTTATTGGCAATTATTTTCTTAGAAATGATCATGACAACAGCACAATTGACCTTTTTTTTGAAACACAGGAAAACAATTACAACAGAACTTTGAAATGTGATAGCTTTGTTTGAGAGACATAAAATCAAATCGCAATGAAATGTGAAATGTATCAACCCATGAACAAGGACCTACGCCACACGTTTGTCTAAAATAAAAGTTTCTCCACTAGCACTAGCACAAACTGGCACGCTCTAAAAATCAGTTTCTCCACCCTCAAAACTTTCTGTCTTTAAAAAGACACCAATATAAAATAGTCCTGAGTGGAACGGGGAAATTATATTGCACAATAGAAGTTAAGAAAACGCTCCTGTATGAGCCGTCCGTTAGATCTACGACTAAATCTAATCGCTAATGTTAGCCAATGTGACTAAGAAAAGTTTTTTTTTTCTTTCTTTCAGCAGGCCTTCTTTAAACAGTCTTCTAAGTCTCTTCAAGTAGCTTCTGGAGGTTTCTTTGTATCTGGACAGAAAAAAGAAATTGGACATGTTTAGACTTTTTAACACTGTGGACAAAACTACAAGGACAAATGTGAAAATGTCAGGGATTTATTCATCTTTATACGTCTACCTTTTTAACAGAACTGAATAACCTGCCCTTGATGGTCAAACATAATGCGTTGGAATGTTTTTTTTTTGTAAAAACTAACTCTACATTAAATGGTGGCATAGAAAGTTCCTGTGAGGACGGTTGTAAAGATGAACCACACATTCAATGGAACATTTAAACCAAGGTTGGTAATATCTGACGTCGGTGTCGTAACTTCCTAGAATCTTTTCAACACCTGCAACATCCTGACGGAAAGATTGACCACACTGGGGCTTTTGGTTCTTTTGCTGACACCGTTTTAGCAGGGAAATGGTTTCAGGCTCCGACCTTCACTTTGCAGGGAAATAATCTTTCTGTTTCTGTTTGTCTGAGCCAGACGACAGTCAGATTCTCTGGGTGGCTTTGGGGGATTTTTAGTGCAAAAAAAGTTACATAATAAGAATAACTACGACAATACTATTATGATTGTTATTAATATGATTATTGGAATGTAATTAATAATATTGATGATGATGATGATGATAATAATAATAATACATTCTTTATATATATTATTACATTCTAATAATACATATAAACAAAAATGTCAATGACTCATTTAAGGTTTGCCTCCTGGCCTGGGATTTGAACCAGAGAATGAAGCAATAACTGTCATCTAACTGAACCCATAAGTGTTTTGTAATTTATTGTCTCATCAGCATTTCTGTCATTTTCTTTGTCAATCTGATCGATTTGATCTAAATTTTTCTGGAACAATTTCTTCCCTCAGTTTGCAGAAATAAACTGTACAAAAATATTGCCATTTACTGAACCAGGAAGTTAAATGTTTTAATTAAACTGCCATGATTACTGAGAGCTAATGATAGCTAATAGCTAACATCTAGAAAATGGATGCTTTAAGACAAAAAAGCTGAACTAGCTTTAGTTTGAAAATAACTAATCATTAGCCAAAATAGCTAACCATAAGCTAAAGGTTAACTAATAAATAGTCTTTGTGCAACAAAGACCATGTTAGAGATCAAATCAGTTTACTACCCTGGTTTATTGCCTTGTTGATTGTGGTAAACATTTCTGTTTCTGCTGACAAACCTTTTCTAGCTTGAACAGGTTACTAGAAAGTTCTCCGTAGATTTCAGCATTCAGTTCATCCTGCGACCTGTGGCTCACTGCATTCCTGTGAAAACATGCACGGAAAGAGCAGTGTAAGAGACTAGGCAAACAAAACAATCCAAGGAGCCATCTGGGATCCTGAAGAGCTGGCTCTTTAGAACCAGATAAACTGGAATTCCCATCACTACTAAGACTGATGGAGGTGTGATGTCATGCGTCACATTCTTACTCGTTCCGAATGGACATCAGGGAGTTCAGACGGTGCTCCAGAGCCATGATCTTGAAAGCCATGTAGAGGGAGGACAAGACGAGGACACTGATTCTGTTGGGACAGTAGACAGTCAGTGTTTATGTTTGGTCCATCCTATGCATTCATTTTATATTATTGCTTTAAATATAGTTTTACTCACATGATTAAATAGATGAGGAGAATGGCATGTAGCGAAGCGGGCTGTGAGGATTTGTCACCGACGGTCGCTCCTTCATTTGCCTTGGTTGTCCCTGGAATTTCAAATTGAAAAATGTTACATTCTGGGAATTCACAAGGCTGAACTAACAAATGGAGAGAAACCTGTTTTTTGTTTAATCATTGTCACATATGAATGCCTAGAGGTTCTCATAGTTGGTTACTACCCATCGTGGCAAAGTGATGTTGCATGTCTCTCATACAGCCGATGAAAAAATATTGTGTTGCCCAATTCCTAATAAACACTCACTTTAATACACCTCACCTATACAGTGCGCCAGCTAGTGGGGAAACACAGGCATTGCAGAAAAAAGGCAATATGACAGAAGTCTAATGATAATATAATATAATAATTCCACGTGCCGGATTAAAAAGCCTAAGTGCACATACCCGGCCCCCCCTTGTTTGGCTGGGTATAGCCCAGTTCGCCCATGCCTGCCATAGCACCTCATAGAGCTGCAGTGTATTAAACAAGAAGTTTTCTTTTTTTTCCATCATTTTACATGCATTGGTTATTCCTAGAAAACTACCTTTACTTGATTGGATACTGAGATGTTTCCCATAAACATAGCAAATTAGGAGAGTTGTGGTTGATTTAGTACCGTTGTTGAGGACAGCTCTGTGTTTTTGGCCTGGAGTCTGAAGGTGAATGTCAGCATGGACAGAAACCTCTCCACTCTTCACTGCACTGAGAAATGTGTCTGGCAGACCGGTGAAGTCTGTTCAAGTAAACAAAGAGAGAACCTGTGACTCCAGCCACCACCTCAGGTAAATATTTACTGGAAACAAAAAACATCCTCATACATCACTACGTTCTCTGATCATGGCTGCCTCTGTGCCAGTTGTCTTTAAGGTAACAAAAGCCAGAGCGCTAATGAATCGAATGTCTTTTGGCTTCAGTGCAGGTATGTGCTGTCTAAACCCTGTCTGAGCCACAGCGACCGTGCTCAGTGGATTAATGTTGGAGGAAGTACACACCACTTATTTTGTCATAATCTGGAGTCTGGGAGCCAGAGCTGCTGCTCTCCATCATCTTCTGTCGTCTCTTCTGCACGACTCCGTCAAGGTCAGAATAGTCTCCAGAAAAATCCTGCGGTGCACATATAAACACTTATAAACACCACCTGCAGGGGGGGTATTGTATAGCATGAGAGCAGGCTGTTTCTATAGGATCTTAAACACAATGGGACCTCATGGTCTTCTAATGTACAATAAATATGTTCAGTAAAAACAACACGTAGACACACAGTGCCCTGACTGACCAGAGGAAGTGAAGACGGGATGGAGGCAGATCTAAAGCTGGTTTGGCAGGAAGACGTGACGGGACTGTCGCACTTCTTATCAACCTGGAACGACACGTACACATTGTAGTTTAGGGAAGACATACATCTGGTTGAAACAGTACAGTGTGGAGGTCTTCAGCCTTATACATGCAAAAGATGCTCAACATGATGGAGACAGGTTGAGCATACATATACTACATACATTGTCGTGTGTGTTTTGTTTTTATTGTACACTCAGGTAAAGTGCAGCGAGTTGAAGAGTCCGGGTACAAAATATCAAAAAAACTTTATCAACATCAACAAAACAACTCTGGATTTGAACCTGCTGTAGATGGATGGATAGATGGGTGAATGGATGGATGGAAGAATTGATGGAAGGAGTGGTGGATGGATGTATGGATGTATGGACAGAGAGACATTCCTTACCTCCAAATGAGTGCAGATGGCTCTGAGGAGTTTGTATGTAGTGTTTCGAGAGAGGAAGGACACAAACACATGCTGCGAAAAGTAATTTACCGTCAGTTTCCTGTTTATGTCAAATTACAATAACATCTATACATAATATCCATCTCTTTTGGTCAAAGACTTTCCTACCTGGTCACTGGTGGTTTCAATCACCAGGGCATTTGGCACGAGTAATGCTGTCTTGGTTTTTTTGATAAAAGTCACAGATATCGCCGGGATTGATATCTGTCGGTGAGAAAATGTGCTTTAGAGTTTTGCCTCGTTACAAAATAGAATTTGTATTGGTTAACACTGCAGACAGGAGTGTGTGGCAGCGCTGTACCTTGGTGTCTCTGCCAAAAACTCTGGAGTGGAAACAGATCCAGTTATCGGAGACAAACATTTTGCCCTGATATAACATATCTTTCTGCAGAGCACAAGTGTAACCTGTGGACACGATCAGTGTTTCACATTAGGAATTACAACCATACACTCCTGCACATGGTACAATATTGGACACACACTTACTTTGTCTCAGCAACTCATCTTTGCTGACTTCCTTAAATATCTTGTGATAGTGTTTATTTGTCTTTGACAACTACAAAAAAAAAAAAAAAAAAAAAATCTGTGACTATTCCATAATTTTGTTTTCCTGAAAATGTAATTAAATGATTGCAGAACTGTGAATGTACGCCTACCTGTAGGGGCTGTGATTTGTTCCCTTGTAACTTGGTGTCCAAGTCACTCGGACTCAGCATTGGTGGAATCTGCTCGGCTGGTTTCACTCTGACAAATAAAGGGCCAGTGTTTGTAGGTGAGTAACATGGCAACAAGGAAAAGCAACTTAAACAGCACTTATAGGAACCACAGCCTGCACATTCACTTCCACTGATCCAGACTGTGAACTCTTCATTATCAGTGGTTGAGTCGTGTCCTTCGTGAACCTCTGCACACTGGCACCTGTGGTTATGCAAGACCTGCTTACACAACAACACAGAGCTCTGTAAACAGCTCTTGGTCATGCAGGTATCCAGGAGAGACAGAGCTGCGCTGTAAATGTCAAGAGGATCCTGATGTCAACTTTGATTAAGTTTATTACACTATAACGTTCCCTTGTGGCTACTTCAAAGTATTTTTTAAAAACTACAAATCTGGTTTCCCTTAAGTGTGTTTGTTTGAAGTCTTGAAGGCCAGGAACCAGTCTGAGCCCCGCATGTTTATCATCACTGATACCAAAATAACAACACAAAGAGATTACAGTCACTCAACAAATGTCACTCTTTACACTTGTCTTAGTTTATAACACCTTAACACCTGAATCTGCAGGGTGGCAGAGCGCTCCCTTAGAGATAGGGTGAGGAGCTCTGTCACACGAGAGGAGCCGCTGCTACTCCACATTGAGAGTAGTCAGCTGAGGTGGCTTGGGCATTTACATCGCATGCCCCCCGGACGCCTCCCTCGGGAGGTGCTCGGGTGCCGTCCCTCAGGGAGGAGACCTAGGGGAAGGCCTAGGACACGCTGGAGCGACTACGTCGCTCGGCTGGCCTGGGAACGCCTTGGGGTCCCCCCAGAAGAGCTGGAGGAAGTGTCAAGGGAGAGGGAAGTCTGGGTGTCCCTGCTCAGACTGTTGCCCCTGCGACCCGGCCCCGGATAAGCGGTTGATAATGTATGGATGGATGGAACACCTGAATCACACTACATAGAAAACACTTGGGCAAACTAAGGCCCGTGGGCCAAATACGGCCCACTGCTCTTTCTAATCCGAACCACCATACACTGATACAAGGTATGATAAGACTGATGAAGAATCAAGTGTAATTTCTGCTGATGCCACTAAATGGCAGTAGACATAAAATGTTCCAAATTATCTTTGAAGGTTTGGGTTAATTCTTGGACATTTTATTTAAATTATTTCATGTCCGAGTGATTCAAACAGAAACTTAGTGAAATGCTCGGCTTGCAACCAGAGGGAACCGGAGAACAGCAAAAAAAAAAAAGAAGTGCAGCTTTTAAAAAGGTGTCATAAACAGAGCTGTGATAAAGTGTGTCGCTGTGATAAAAGAGGTTCAGTGGGAGAAAGTTGACTGACACGCGATGAAGGACAAATGTGTGAAAATCCACCAAAATGGCAGACGGGTAGTTAGAGTAAATTTTAATTAATTAAATTATAATGGCTGGCTATGGTGAACAAAGACAAAGAGTTAAAATTGACTAAAAAAAAATCTGACTTCCTGTTTTGGAGAAAAAAAAAAAGCGGAAATTACCATATTCTCAGGAAGTTTCTACATTTTTTGGCCAACTAAGTTGGTGGCTGTGAAAGTTCACATACTTCAAACTGGTTTATGTTCACTGTCTTTGTGTTCTGTGCTTTATAAGGGAGAAATGAAACTACTATCTTATGTTTGTCATTATGTATTTTGGTCTATGACTACCTTTAAGGAGCTAACACACCCAGTTTAACAATGACTTACTATTAAACAGTGTAACCACATATTCTCTTCACAACTACTCCATACACTGATGTCATCTGCTGTAAAAGTCACAGTGTGAGAAAACTGATGTTTATCTACAGTATGTTCTTGGACTTAAGTGTAGTTATACAGATGTCATTCCTTCATCTTTGGAGCCTTTTTTTGTCTTTAGAGAAATATCTGTGTCTAAATACATCTTTAGGAAAAACACAACTCAACAAGTGTCCAACTTCCCCTGACATTTTGAGACGTCAGTATAAATCAGCAGTTCAAGTAGAGGTCACATGTTACGTATGAAAAAAGCTGAACTTTGATTCTGGAAATATTCTGCAGAAATTTTAGCTTGTCTTCACTTGTATAAATATATGTTTGTGGCTGTGTTTACGAGAAAAATAAACAATTCCCTGATGTCCATTTGGAAGTTGTGAATCTACATAGAGTATGTACAAAATGAATCACATAAAGACAGGGATAATATGGGAACTTCCATAAGAAGGTGGAACAAAAATGATCCTGTCAACATGTCCATGTGGGCCTGTTATGGGTGAACTTGACCTACACTGTGGGTGTGGGTTTAAACAGGGCACACCATGGTGAGCACATAATCCAGTGGTTCCCAACCTTTCTTGGCTTGTTAACCCATTTTGATGTCCCAAATTTCTGGCAACCCCAGAGACATTTTAGTAGCTGTCACTTGATCGTAGCCATCAACCAAGACGTGCCATCTCAGATATTTTTATAATAATTAATAATAATTACCTGAAAGAATACATTTTATCAGTTATTTTTTTAAATAAATTACTAGAGATTTCAGACGACCCCATTCTAATCCTTGGCAACCCCACATGGGGCCCCAACACTAAGGTTGATAACACACTGACATAAGGTTATCACACACATTATGATGCTGTCTTGTATTTTGACTTCAACTTTTCAAAGTGTCATGTGATCTAACCTGAACCCTGTGGCTGTGAGGGCACAGGGCCGGACCACAGAGACCGTCCTTGACGCATGAGAAAGTGAAGTCCTAGTCATGAGAAGTACATTCTCCACAGACTGACTGAAGTCTGTGGACAGTGGAGACTGCTGCAGTACACTGTTCTTTGTTCTGTGACGGACTAGTCCAACGTGACGTGAAGCCAAACGGACCATGTGATTCTCAGATAAAGTTGTTCTCACAGTCGTACTGTTTGTGTTTTAACAGTTTGTGTCTGACTGTAGTTATATATTAGTGTTTGTCTGCTCCTTCACCCCCTTTCTCTTTTCTCTATTTGCTGAGCAAACGTCTAGAAACTGAAGTCTGGAACTGCTGGAGATTTGTTTATTTTTCTCCCTTTTAGAAGGATTGTGCTTTGTGGATTTGGGTTTACAGATAAAACTGACGCAACTTGAAAGAATTTGAAAGAATACATATTTGTTTTAGTAAATCTGGAGTTACTTCATATGTGGCAGCACCTTTTAACCTTATAACATGTTTTATATCTATTATTATACATTCCCATATTTACTCTTTTGGGTTTTTAATGCTTAGTTACAAGGTAAAAAAAAGCTAAGCAATAATTTATTGTACTGTTGAACTTTTTCTTAAAACTTTGTACATGACAATAACCATCTTGAATATAATGTTCCAGTCAAACATTATTTATCTGCTCCTGTTCAGTCCAGGCATTATAAAAGTTACCTGTTGTTCTCTGTTACATATCTATTTGAAGCCCATATGTACCATATAGACCTTTTCACCCTACTCCACATCAAAGCCCAGTTGTTGTAGCCAGAGGGTCATGGGTTCGATTCCACACCGAGTAGGTTATATGCCGCCCCCAGATAGTGTAACTTTACACTACAAACCTGTAGTGCAGAGCAGTCGAAGAGTGTAGTAGAAGTACAGTCCATTTACATACTGTGAACCCCTGGCTCATATGTCTATTTAAATGTCATCACAATTTGCCACTTCCTCACACTCCTCACCCCCCCTCTGCTCCTTCCATTTGACTAACACCCACAGAGCCACAGCATTGTTTTCACAAAGAAGACAACACACAATAATGTCCTTAAATCACTGTCAACGACATTATGACGTGTCAACTCCTACTGGGCTGAATAAGGTTGAAGAACACAGTGTTGACGGGACAATGTAACCAACTCTACCTAACGCCGACTGCTTTCTTCCTGCCCTCTGAGGGCTCTGACTCCGTGTCCACCACCAGCAGGGGGTCAGCCGGTGACCTTCCACGCCTCCCCTGTCTCCCCAAGGCTCCATTCTCCGCCTCAGACCTGGACAAAACACACGAAAAACAAATGTCTCCACTGTGTTGTCTATGAGTCACTCTGAAGCAGGTCACGGAGCATGTCCAAACACATTCGTGGAGGAGAAACGAGCTCCATTTAAACGTAAACACAGCGCGGTGTACATCTCTGTTAGCTGACGCCTCACCGCGAAAACTTAACAATAAAACTTTTCCCCGAGTTCCAGAACCACAGACCCGACGGTGCCACGTACGCGTCCCCTTTTAGCCAAACTCTTCCTGCACTGGAATGTTAGTAAACATACATGCAAATAACCACAGAGCTTTGGGCCTGGTTTGCCTTCCCGGTCGCTGGGAAGCGAAGCAGGCCCGTCCTCTCTCCATCTTATTCACTTACGTCGACCAAATGCCTCGGGAGTCTTTCTTGGAGAGCGGCTCCGGTGTCGATGACGAGGTCAATGGTCCGTCCGCCGGTTCGCTCATCAGTACCATCTATAAAGTTTCATAACTCAGTCTGAGCCTCCATTGGATCCAAGTGGAATGTATGGGGCTGCCACAGCGATTCAAACGGAAACTTTGGGAAGCGCTCGGCTTGTTGTCCCAAACAGAGGAGGAGTCGGGGAAAGGGAAAGGGGAGGTCGCTCCAGGGAACAACATCAGGAACAAGGAGGAAGAAGCGGCGTTTACGTGCGGCTTATCAAAGGTGTCATAAACAGAGCTGGGATAACATGTGTCTGTGATAAACGAGGTTCAATGTGGGAAAGTTGACCGATTAATATGTTTTTATCTGTGTGAAAAGTCCGAGGCAAATTCTGCACGAAAATCGTAATAAAAAGACAGAAACAGTTTTTATGCAATAGTTAGAATGATGTCTGACCACCGAACCTGGTGGTGACCACTCATAAATTATTGAAACCCCAACGGCAATAAAACTTTGAGAAAGTCTGAGGAGTACACAACTAAACAAAGGGTATTGGACAGAGTTATCCAGCAGGGGGCAGCAGAGCCTTGCTAACTGAACGACAGTTTTCGTTAATAATAAAAATAATAATTAATATTACACATTATAATATATATTATGTTATATATTAATGTTGTAATAGTAATAATAATGTTTATTGTTATTGTTATTATTTTTATCTTAAATAATCTGAAAATTCAGATGAGAAAAAAATGATTGTCATTTTGAATAACTTTCTGACCCTAATCCTATAAAAGAACTGCAGATTAGAGTTATTTTTACTATTTAAGAATGAAAATATTATATAAGAGAAATTTTAATGGAGAAACACTGATCTGAAACTTTTGAAAACTACATCAGACTACTGCGCTCTCCTCTACAATTTTTTTTTTTTTTTTCAAAAGTTGACACCCCAAACTACAATGCTCCATGTATGGAAAAAAAAAAGTTGATAATACTTGATATTTTTCAAGGCAAAAAACCAAACATTTTGTTCTGTCAGAATCACGTGGTGTGTTGTTGACATTTATTTATTTACTTTTCAAAAAATAATTTAAAAGTATATTTTTCCACATCACACTCATCAGCTTAATGGGTGACCATAAAGTGCTAGTTCCTAACAGCTGGTCGTTGCTAGTGGACCCGCTGGTTTACTCTATAGGTGTGTTATTAGTCAACCATTAACCTCTAAACTTCAAAGATGGTTCCATTAATCTTTCGGAGGCCCAAACGGGGGACGTCACTTTATAAAACACAATACGATTGTTGTTCTTACTTCTGCTCCTCGACCCCCAGGAGTCGCTGTTGACACGTGTAGCCACCGCATCAGTTCAGAGTTCACTCAAAGACTTCGTCAAGTGTCCGCGAGACAAAAGCACAGCCAGCAGCTACTTAGCCAGTCATTAATCATGGCTGACAGGGGACAAGGGGTTAAAGGTGGGGAAGCAGCCAGGAGTCTGTGTTATTACACTACAGGAGTGTTCACAGAGGAGGAGGAGAAGAAGAAGTCAGCACACACAAAGACAGCTCCATTTGCTGCTTTCACAACCAAACAATGAACATATAAAAACATAGAATAAAACTATTAGAAGTATGAAAATACACTGAAAACAGCTGTACTACCTCAGTATTTAATAAAATACAACATTCAGTGGTGTCACTGGAAAAACAAGAATGTTTTTTAATTTACACTGTCTAAGTCACACGTGTCAAACTCTGACCCGGGGGCCAAATCTGGTACGCAATGTAATTATATCTGGCCCGCAGGATTATATCAATATGTTATATATGTTAACCAGAGTTGGCTCACCTGTTTACTGACGGGATTTCTAGTATTAGCGATGTATGCACTATGTTATATTTTGTTATTTTGTTGTTGGCCTGTGAAAAAAAGATGTACATTAAGAAGGAACTCCAAAGTGCCATGCTCAGAGCACCTCAGTGGTAATTTGGCAGCTGGTGGACTCAAACCTGAAACCTTGTGGACATAAGTCTGTTTCCATAAACACAAAGCAAACACTTCCCTAGAAAAAGCATTGTTGGGATTCAAACCCAAGATCTGCTGTTTCACAGACAGGCGTTTTAACCAACTAAGCCACAGCGCTGCGGTCGTTGGACACATGTGTGTCTATTGTTTATGACGGTGGGAAATAAACCTCATGTGACAGATAGTGAAATCTAGATACACTCAACCTATGGATCAGTGCAATCAAATGTTTTTTTAGCACCCTCTGCAGGGGAGTAATGGGAAGCCACCTGCTGTGTGTGTTTTGTTTTTTACACTAAGACCAAATTTCCACATAGTGTATTTAAGCTTTAGATGTGTACGGTTTAAGTAAATTATGTAAAATGTAAAACTGCTGTATAAGCTGTCCAATAAAAAATTAAAAATATTTTGACGAGCTGCTTTTTTCTGTTCACCAACTGCCAGTGTATTCCCTGTAATCTAATCCTATTTGGCTGCAGCTTGGTGTTTGGTTTACAGACACAACAGTGAAGTAACAGTCTTCTTTTCTAACACTCAACGGGAATCTAAAGAAGCTTTTTTTTTCTAGCACTACGTACTATAAAGGCAGGAAGACATGGGTTGATAATTAGATTACATCAGGCATTAGTCGGTGCCCACTGCCAGTAAATGTGTGTATGAAAGAGCAGGACTCTTTCAGTTGCCTTTGCCTTCTGAGAAACATCTCCCTTCTGTAGCAGAGTCCTTTTCAGAGCCTGTCAGATATTCCACCACAGAGACAGAGAACAAGGAAGGCATAGAGAAGGAGGGGAGGACAGATGCCCGTGGGTGTGTGTGTGTGTGTGTGTGAGGGAGAAAGAGAGAGAAAGAGAGAGCGATCAAGTGAGTGCAAAAATGGTATTTGTGACGGGGGAAGATTGAAGTCCTGTTAAGTGCTCTGCTTGAAAGCATGTCTGGCCTCATTAGCTGTCAGTTGTAACAATACTGAACTGGCAGTGAAGACAGGTTGGACTCTAGTGGTCATAAATCACTCCTCGACAGCTGCCTGACAAGCTGGGAACCAGTACAGAGGTACGGGCACCGTCTGAGCCTCGACACTGAACAGGCTTCGCAAACAGTAATGTAAGAAATCATCTCCGTTGCCCTGGAATCACCTGGAAAATTTGATTTTTTTTTTGTAAGAAGGAAACTGCCTTGAATTCAATGTCTTTCTACAAACGTGTACCAAACCCCCGGTCTCCTGGGCCGGTCTGTCTGGGTCTGACTCTGTCCATTACTTTAATGAGGGGTGGCCGCAATGACTCCGGCGCTGAGGCGAGGAAAAGGTGGTGGAGGTGGTGGGCTGCAGAGCGCAGCCTGCAGGTCATTAATCATGGCCCCTGACATGCAGAGCAGGAGGCCAAGGCTCCCCTACGCATACAGCTGCCGGACCACACTCAACGCACAGGCAATGTGTTGACCCCGCACACCCCTCCCATCGCCCACTCCCGACGCCTGTGGCTCTCATCTGTCCGACTCCCTCACTGTTTGTGTCAGTCATCTGTGCCATCAGACACAGCCACCTACTAACCGACCACAACAGCCTTCACGTCCACTCCTCTTAATCACTGAGACGCTGCAGCCGCTGCTTTTTCAACATCGGATTTCACCGACTGAATATTTTAAGCCTATGTGAGAAATGGAGAAAAAGGTTGCCCTGCGAAAGATTTGGATGGATGTCGTGCAATTATTCAAAGGTGTCTGCAACTTGTGATGCCCCTGATGTTTGTACTACTGCCACCATGAGGCTGACATTAGCAGCTGCTGTGAAGAAACATGACTGGAGATGCAGCGTTCTATGTTTATGTCAGTAACGTAAGTTATGGCAGAGTAGGTCACTTTCAAAACCGTCGTCTTCATCGTCATCATCATCATCATCTTTGCCCACATGCCACAAACTCTCAGTCCTGTGATCTCACTGCAATCTAATTTTGTAAATTAAAATCAAAATAAATAAATGTTGAAAAAAAAATATATCTGTTACACAAATATATATATATCACTTTCAAAAGCGTCAATAAACATACATATAATGGCACTGTCCAATTATAGTTTATCGTTTCTTTAAGCTAATGTTATTATCTATAGATTTAACCATTAAATTACCAATAGAAACAAGATGTTGAAATCTGATGCTAACTATTGAGCTAATCGTGGCCATTTTACATTAAAAGACTATTTAAAATATTTAATATTTTTGTTAAAACAAACAAACAAAAAAAATCAAACGAGGTGAATGACTTCATCATCACAGCAGTGATCTGGCAGAGTTCTTACAACAGATGCATTTCCTGACACAAATCAGACGAGGTGGTATTGAACCCACAACCTTCTGGTAGCTGGCAAGGCCAACCACTGCACCACCCCAGTCCCCATTGTTGGAAAAGCAAATAATAAAATATAAAAGTGTTATTTACTTTGGTGTCAATTTGATTTCCATTTAGCTTATAGACATGCAAATTCTTACTTCCTCATTGGTACATTATTTTTCACCCAATCCTTCTTCAGCATCCCAGGAGGCTGCAGCCAATCAAAGTTCTCCGTACAGTTAGCCCATTCATCACAGGGCAAAGACAAAAACAGACAAACAACCAATCACAGTTACACCTTTTCTGAGTACTTCAGTTCAGATTTTCCACTTAGCCTAATCTAAACGGTAATTGGCTGTAAGGCAGCTGCACTAACCAAATCCACCACCGTGCGGCCCACCTATTCTCACCAATGGTTAAGGCCATGGCGGTAAATTAAAATTATTTTTTCGTGTATCTCTTCCAGGCCAAGAATGAATTCATCTCCATTAAAAGTAGCTTCACTTCCACATTCCCATGTTTGGATCTCATGCTTTAACACGCAGAGATAATTCCCCCCTTATCACAGAGACAAAAGACACATTAATGCACCATTTCATCCTTGTTCCCATCTACCGACATAACTTCGCCCAGCGCTGCAGCTGCTTGCATCATGATGAAAGCCAGTCGGGCTGTGAGACAGTGAAATACTCTGTTTCATCATTCACAGCCACTAAATTACCAGTCCAGCCACAAGACATCTGTTGAAAGCTGATTCCTTATCAGCCTTCCAGCGTGATTTGGGAAACATCTGGACTTTTTGGAGGACTTTGGCAGCATGTGGACTGGAAAACTCACAAAGACGGCTAATTTTCTGGAATGTGTTGACGCTCAGAGTGTGAAACAGGTGATCGG